GATTCATTAGAGCTTTCTACATATTAAAATATTAAATCCCTGTGTTTTGGATGTATGACTCACCTTTGCAAACTTGAAGTCTCAAATTTTTGTATAATCAAACCTGATTGTCATATCTGACATTTTTTCACAATTCCAAAAAATAATTCTTTTCTATTAAAGTTGATACATAATAACTTGGAGAGCTGGGGATGTAGGTCAGTGGTAGAGTGCTTTCCTGGTGTGAATAAGGCCATGGGTTTGATTCCTGGCACTGTAATAATTGTGACCTGCGGTGGGAATGGTATGTTTTTCAGTTTTTATAGGATCATATTAGATGTAGGGGAGCTTATCTATAGGTTTCACAAATCTTTGGGTTAACAGTAGTAATTCAAATATTTTTTCATTTGCCCAGAGTATTTTAGTGTCTCTTCCTTGCTCATTATATAGGGTCTCACATACTATGGGCCTTTGGTATTTGCAGATTTATATATATGGTTTTAGCCATTCTCCATCGACTATGATATAGTAATTTGTAGTTTTGCTGAGGAAGAAATGTTATTTGACTTGCCTACCAAACTTGCTAATTCATCATGTAGCTCAAAGAGGGAGTCTATTAGATAGGCCAGCACCTGCATCTCAACGCAGCTTTGTTTTTCTCTACTTGTCATCGAGTATACAGTAACTCTCGAAGTGATAAAAGCTGTTTCTTTGTGAAATATGGGCCTGAAAAGAAAACCAACTGCTAGTGCTGGTGATGGAAGTCAAGAGAAAATGAAGAGGTCTAAGAAAGTGATGGTTCTTAGCCAGAAAATAATCATTTTGGATAAATTAAAGTGGTTTTTCAGATTCAGGTAAGTTTGTGGTTGGTTTATGTTGCTACGGTATTGATGTAGTAGTCAATATTTCTAGTGGCAGAATTTATTTTTATAATTATAAATGACTAGTAAAGCTTTTTTTTTTTTTTAGGAGCAATAAGGATTTGAAGATGTCACTTAAATTTTAGTTATACTGCACTGAATTTTAGAGAAGCTGAACACTGTAGTTGTATTTGAATACTTGAGAACTCTGGGGTGTCATTAAGGATGTGTGTGTGTGTGTGTGTGTGTGTGTGTGTACACAACAGTTTGTGTTCTAGGCTATTCTGCTCCAGTAATATTTCTGTCCTGTTCGTGCCATAGCACTTGACTATTTTTGATACATTATAATAACTACCTGGACCTCTAATTAGTCTTTTTCTCCTTCCCAAAATTATGATGGTTTTCATATATGAACAATGTTAGCAAGTTAAAAATATCTTGAATGGTGTTTTTTGTTTGAGATCATGTTTAGTTATATGGGTTATAAGTGTTCCTTATCCAGAATGCTTCAGATCAAGCCAGGAATGGTGACACACACCTGTAATTCCTGCTACTCAGGAGGCTGGGTCAGGAGGACCCACCTGTTTGAGACCAACCTGGGCAATTATAGGAAGACTCTATAGTCTTATAGATATCACCTTATCTATAAGATTCATTCATATATATATATATATATATGACACAGTACCTTTATTTCATTTATTTTTATGTGGTGCTGAGGATTGAACCCAGCCCCTTGTTTGTAGTAGGCGAGTGCTCTAACAACTGCAGCCCAAGATTCATATCTTATAGAATATTTTAAATAATTTTATGCATAAAACAATTTGATAGAATATTTTAAATAATTTTTTTAAAAAGCAGAGTTTTATAGTGTGGAATTTTCTACTGTGGTATCATGTCAGTGCTCAGTTTTTTAATTTTGGGAATATTTCAGATTTGGGGATTAGAGATACTCAACCTTATAATAATAACTTGAAATATCTATTCCCAGTTGGAAACTTTTAATTTAGATCTTATCTAAAATAGCCCATAAATGGTTCCACATATCAGTTTTTGAACTACTACTTTTTTTTGTTGTTTTGATGTTGTGGATGGACACAATACCTTTATTTTATTTATTTTTATGTGGTCCTGAGGATTGAAACCCAGTGCCTCACACATGCCAGGCAGGCGCTCTACCCCTGAGCCACAACCCCAGCGACATGAACTTTATTCTTTGAACAAAGTTTTCAATGACTCTATGAATGAGGATTTATATTAAATGCTAGAGAGGAGCTATAGTCATTTCTCAGGGAACTCTAATTATAAAAAATGTGAAACGTCATTACGCAAGGAACTAAGAGCACAAAAGAGATAATAACTAGGGTGGGATGAAGAATCATTTCTAAGTGGATTTAAGGAATGATTATTTGTGTTCTTTGTTAAACTGAGATCCTTTCACTTTCTCACATGTTTTCATTTGGTTATTGCCAGTGTATTGTAATGGTGTTGACTTCAATTTGTTCCAGCCAAATTTAAGAAATCATCTGTTTTCATGGCAATCCTGCTTCTCTCAAATAATATATCTTTTTAATAATTTATTTTATTATAAGAATATATGAAATAATATTAAATTATGGTGATATTGGATGTCCTTGTTTTATGATTTAGAGAGAATGCCTAAGAGCTTAGCTGTTAAATATAATCTGATTTTAGCTTGAAGGATAAGACATTTGCTAAATTCTGAGGAAGAATCCTATGTATGTATTTGGACTGGATATCAACACAGATGCCTTATTAATGTTAAAAAATTTTAAATAATTTTAAAATTTTTTTAATAAAAATGTATATTTCTTTGCCTGTATTTTATGTGGCATTTTTGTACATGTTTTAAAGAAGATTGGTGATCTTTGTGGTAGTTTTAACTGGTTTGAGTATTAGACTGTATTTTCTTTGAAGCAGCAAAGTTTTGTTTCCCTGAGCCTAGAGTTGATTTACAGAATTTTAAATGAATATTTTTATTACAAATGTGCTTTGTGGTCATTGTATGTCTAAAAGAGAAAACAAAATCTGCTGAGTTTGCATCAAACTGTTCTTGATTTCAGCTGTTAAGAAATATTTTTTATTCTATAAGAGTTGTTTTCATGACAGTCTGTGTATCCTTGAAACAAATACAGGATTTGAGAAAAGACTTATGTTTGGCAAAAGAAGTTTGAGCTGAAATAGAATATATCTTAAATAAGACTATTTGAGAACTCATAAAACAGTGCATTAGAATCTAGTTCACCAGACATTTGTAATTAAGTTTGCAAAATTCATAAGATTATAGTTGCTGGTACTAAAACCAGCAACCAGTTGACCAACTAAAAAACACCATGAGAAACAAATAGTCAATCTAATATTAAAGAAATGCATTTAATTAGACTTGTCACACTTAATATTATTTAGCCAATCTTATGAAAAATAGATGTATTGTTAAAATACAGATGCATCACATTCTTTTGGATGATATAGCAGTTTTAGAAAATTTCGTAATTCAAATTTAGGAAGAGATTTGATGAGCTGAAACTAAGAGGGAGGGAGGAACACAGCAATTACAATGAGTGACAGGGCAGAGGTAGGGATCTAAGTATCAAAGTTAATGGAGGAGAGGAATTGTAAGGTATGGTGGCTATTAATCAGCAAGCTGCTGAAGTAGTCTATGTGTGTGTGGTTTTTTGGGGGGAGGAGTTTTGCTGGTGATTGATGGGTTTCAGACATGCCACCCAACTATATTCCCAGCCCTTATGTGTGGATCTTCTAATTAAACAATAAAATATCATTTTATGATGGTACTTTCTTAGTAAAGTTGCAATCAGAAGAGCACAGACAAAAAAGTACAAATCCAAAAATTCTTAGAGCAAAGGACAAAAGAGGTAGTAGTGAATATTAAATATATGTAACAAATTAAATCTACACTGAAGTAATGATGTGTTATAATGTGCCAATAAAAAACAGGAAAATGGAACAAGGCATATTGTTACCAATGCAGGTGTTGTTTGTAAATATACAGTCCTTTGTAAGTATCTGTGGGGCATTGTTTCTAGATCATACATACCAAAACCATCCCCACAGGTACCAAAATCTGCTCTGCTCGGGTTCTTTATAAAGTACATATAACCTATCTCTGTTTTCCCATATACTTCAAATCATCTAGATTACTTATAATATGTAATACAGTGTAAATATTGTGTGTATAGTTGCTATACTGTAATGTTTAGGGAATAATGACAAGAAAGAAAATCTGTATGTGTTCAGGTTTTTGGGTACTAGGAATTGAACCCAGGAACACTCAATCCCTGAGCCATATCCCCAACCCCTTTTTTTATTTTGAGACACAATCTCACTAAATTGCTTAGGGCCTCACAGAATTGCTGAAGCTAGCTTCAAACTTGGGATCCTCCTGACTCAGCCTCCCAAGCCACTGGGATTATGGGCATGTGCCACCATACCTAGCAGAGAGATGCTTTTTTGTGAATATTTTCTTTTTTTTTTTTTTTTTTTAAAGAGAGTGAGAGAGGGGAGAGAGAGAGAGAGAGAGAGAATTTTTTAATATTTATTTCTTAGTTCTCGGCGGACACAACATTTTTGTTGGTATGTGGTGCTGAGGATCGAACCCGGGCCGCACGCATGCCAGACGAGCGCGCTACCGCCTGAGCCACATTCCCAGCCCCTTTTGTGAATATTTTCAATCCACACTTGGTTGAATTCATAGATGCAGAGGATAGCTGTTTTTTCTCCACGTTGGTCAAGAATATTAATTTGCATATACTTAAATTGCTTTGCAATTTAGAAACACATTCTTAAAACTTTTTAAAATTATAACAAAATGTTTATTTTTGCAGTTCTGGAGATAAATCCTAAGGCCTGGTGTGTGCTGAGCAGGTGATCTCCCACTGAGCTACACCTACAACCCCACAACAAAATTTTTATAAAATTTTTATTAAACCTTTTCAGTATGTAATTTCACTACAGAGGTCTCATGTAGACATCTATAAAATCTAGTTTTGAAGTACAGAGTTTGCAACTACTTTAAGTTTGTATTAACTACAGGTATGCTATGATCACATTTTCCAAGTATTTTTTATATTATGAAGGCATTTGCAAGAAAATGATGAACTTAGTGATATATTTTTTTTTCAGCTGCTTTTCTGACCCAAACTGTGTGTCTTGATGACACAACGGTAAAGTTTGAAATATGGGATACAGCTGGTCAAGAACGGTACCACAGCTTAGCACCAATGTACTACAGAGGAGCACAAGCAGCCATAGTTGTATATGATATCACAAATGAGGTAAGTACAAATGCCTTCAAACATTGAAACTAGATTGAATATCTGTTTTGGGTATTCAGAATTTTGATGAGAGAGATTTTGAAAATCCTTTGATAGAACCTTTCTGCTCAAGCTTTTTGATTAAAAAAGAAAAAATGTCACAAATAATAAAACAGTCAAAAAAAAATTTCCTTCCCGTAGAGTCACCTTTTAAAGCCTTATCTCATAAAGATGCTTCCTTACCATTTTTTGAGCTGTGCCAAATAGCTGTTCCTCTGTTTAACAGGAATCCTTTGCAAGAGCCAAAAACTGGGTTAAAGAACTTCAGAGGCAAGCAAGTCCCAACATTGTAATAGCTTTATCAGGAAACAAGGCTGATCTAGCAAATAAAAGAGCTGTAGATTTCCAGGTATGTTGAATTTAACTTTCACTTGAAGGCACTTTTTTTTTTTTTTGGCAAATTATTTTAAAATCATGCAAATAATAGAAAAATAAAAGATTTATAAAACAAATGTGCTATGCATGTTAAAATGTAACTCTAAATGGGGCTGAAGGATATAGCTTAGTGGTAGAACATTTGCCTAACATGCATAATCCCTGGATCTTTTCCCCAGAATTGCACATGTGCACATAACACACAGTTTTTTTTTTCTCCTGATAAATCTGAATTTTTAAACCATATATTATTGTAATATATATATATATATACACTGTTTCAAAGATTTTGTCAACCTAAACAATTTAAAAAAATTGTTCACAACCTGGCACAGTGTCCAATGGCCTGTAATCCCAGTGGCTCAGGAGGCTGAGGCAGGAGGATCATAAATTCTGTGTCAGCCTCAGCAAAAGTGAGCACTAAGCAACTCAGTGAGACCCTGTCTCTAAATAAAATAAAATACAAAACAGGGCTGGGGATGTGGCTTAGTGGCTGGGTGCTCCTGAGTTCAATCTTTGAGTACCACCCCCCAAGAAAAAAATTGCTCATGAACAGTGAAGAAATACATAAGCAAAAGTGATAGCTTGCCTGATACAATAATACAGCCCTGTAATCGCAGCTACTTGGGAGGCCGAGGTGGGAGGATTGGAAGTTCAAGGCCAATCTGAGTAATTTAATGAGACGCTGTCTCAAAAATAAGGTCTAGGGATAGAGCCTAGTGATAGAGCATCCCTGGGTTCAATCCTAGTACCAAAGAAGAAAAAACACTTAAGATCTAGTTTGTATATTATTTGTGACAGCTAATTCAAAATTATAAATGAATTTTTGCTTTATTATGTAGATTTCCAGGTATGTTGAATTTAACTTGAAGGCACTTTTTTGAAAGGGGGGCAAATGATTTTAAAACCATGAAAATAACAGATTTATAAAATCTGTTTTATAAATCAGATGTATAAAATGTTCATTAAAATATAACTCTAGATGGGGATAGGAGGTATAACTCAGTGGTAGAGCATTTGCGTAGCATGTGCATAATCCCTGGATCTTGTCCTCAGAATTGCACATGCGGGCACACACACATACACAATTTTTTTTACAAAGCAAGTGTTAATCATTTGAAATCCTCTAATTATACCCTTTTAAAATTATTGGGGTTTGTTTGCTCCTTAGCTTGTCTACCAGAAAGGTCTGGTTGTGTTCAAATATCAGGGATGGAATAATGTTCATTTTTTTATTACAGCATTATAGTTATACACAGTGGTTTAGTTCATTTTGACAAATCATTTATGCAAGGAATTTGATTTCAATTCCCATTCCCCCCTCCTCCATTGTCTTTCCTCTACTCTACTGATATTCCTTTTACCCCTCCTTCTCTTCCTTCCTCCTTTCCTTCTTTCCTGTTGGTGGAGGGCTCGCCTCACATGCACAAGGTCCTGGGTTCCTTCATTCTTTTTTTGTGTGTGGTATTGGGGATTGAACCCAGGGTTTTGTGAATGCAAGGCAAGCACTCCACCAACTGAGCTATATCCCCAGTCCTATTTATTTATCTATTTATTTATTTATTTATTTATTTATGGTGTCGGGGATTGTACTCAGAGGCACTCAACCACTGAGCCATATACCCAGCCCTATTTTGTATTTTATAGAGAACAGGGTCTTACTGAGTTGCTTAGTACCTCACTTTTTGCCAAGGCTGCCTTTGAACTCATGATTCTTCTTGCCTCAGCCTCCCAAACCACTGGGATTACAGATATGCACCACATGCCCGGCTCCTCTTTATTTGTGTCTGATTAGTGCTTTCTACATATTACATAAAGGTGAAATTCCCTTTGGTATTTATATATGCATATATCATGGTTTTGTTAAATTAATTCAATATTTCCTCCCCTGCCCTCCCTCCCTCTTGTTCTCCACCTTCTAGTCCACTAATCTTCCCTGTATATTTGTTATCTGATCCCACTCCAACCACTATCTCTTCCCTGTTTTCTTTTTTTTTTTTTTTTTTTTTTTTTTTTTTTTTTTATTTTTTTTTTTTAAATGTTTTTTTTTTTAAGAGAGAGTGGGAGAGGAGGGAGAGAGAGAGAGAGAATTTTTAATATTTATTTTTTTTTAGTTCTCAGCGGACACAGCATCTTTGTTGGTATGTGGTGCTGAGGATCGAACCCGGGCCACACGCATGCCAGGCGAGCGCGCTACCGCTTGAGCCACATCCCCAGCCCCCCCTGTTTTCTATCTTTCTTTTTCGATGGTGATAGATGGAATGCATGCACTGATCAAAAGCAAACTATTTCTTGCACCATTAGGTATTAAGCTGAGCATATTACAAGCATAGTTTTCATTCAGTTCTTGTACCAACTGTGTGAGGTGTAGTAACATCTATTATTCTTTCCTAGACAGTTACTTCCCCATTATAGAATAATATAGAGAGCACTAAATTATAGTCAAAAGTGGCCCTGTCATATTAAAGTTAAAAGGAACCTCAGTTGTTTGTCAAATGGGACAGATAATTGGTTGTTACTCAGAACAGCTATGAGGATAAAAAGCAATAATATGTGTAAACTGTAAAGTATGACAAAAATGTGAGGCGGCAGTGTAATTTTGAAAGGAATGATTCATGAGATGTTCAAAATTGTGTTACTATAGAAGTCATTAAAAATTAAACATGAGGATGTCATTCAGTGATTGAAGTCAGTTTTAGACATTTGATTTCTCTTAGTCTTCATTACAGTTAATATAAGCATAAGTAAAAATCATCACCTGCCCCAAACTCATTATTAAAAAGCAGATTTAATATTAGACCAGATGATTAAGGGAAGATAGTATAAGAAGTTAAGGTGAAATATATATGTATATTACATGGTAAAATTATCCCCAGATAGTGCTTCTATCTTTGTTATAGCATATTACATAGTTATTGATTATAGATAACCAAGTTGGAGTGTGGATAAGCAGCCTCATTTTTTCTGCAACAGAAATAAAGCAGTTATAGTATATGTCCAAGGAATGTATCTCATTTCTTTTTCTGTAAACAGGAAGCACAGTCCTATGCAGATGACAACAGTTTATTATTCATGGAGACATCAGCTAAAACATCAATGAATGTAAATGAAATATTCATGGCAATAGGTAAGGTTAATAATACTTTTTTTTTCAAATGATAGACAAAACAAGTATGGAATATATTTGATTTATCTGAATTAAACATTCTTTGCTTTTTAAAAATTATACTACTTTTCAAGGTTCCTTCTGCTAAGCAACACTGTTAATAATACCGTTAGACTTGAAAAGTCACTACCTATTAGGTTGTTATGCTTCAGTTTAGGCAAATTTCTTCCAGTTAAGCTTGGGAGTGGATTGATAGTTAAACAGATTTTCCCAAAGCTTTCACCGAAAAGTTTGGGTAAATACATATTTTTCTATTATGGTATACTTTTTATACCAAATAATTCCTCATCTATGGGAAGTACATTCCAAGACCTTCAGCAGATGGCTAAAACCTTGGATAATATTGAACTCTTATTTCATCTTTTAACTATGTATCACATACTGTGGGCATAACTTTTGCAGTTTGAGGTGAAACAACAAAACTAGCACAGATTTCTCTTTCCATCACAATTTCACAGATTATTTTCTCTTTAATTGATGCTGGGGATTGAACCTAGGGCCTCAAAAGTCTTGAGTTCCATCTTCAACCCCAGGTATTTGTTTTTATTCAGATCCTAGCAGCATTAGTATCAGATTTTTTTAATCCATAACTTTTACCTTTTCACTTGAAGAAAGCACTTAATGGTTTTTATTTGGCAACTATAGACTGCCAGCATCTATCATCTTGCATTTCAGAGCCTTTATTAAGCAAAATATGGGTTACTTGAACAAAATACTACAATACTGAAACAGTAAATCTGATAACTGAGATGGCTACTAAGAAGTATTGGGAGCAGGGTACAGTGGCACATGTCTGTAATCCTGGTGATTTGGAAAGCTGAGAAAGGAAAATCTCAAGTTTAATATCAGCCTCAGCCACTTATCGAGGCCCTAAGCAACTTAGCAAGACCCTGTCTCAAAATAAAAAATAAAAAAGGTTGGGAATATAGCTAGTAGTAGAAGGGGGGAGGGGAGCAGTGGGAGCGTGATAATGGGCAAGTAGCATATACATGTGGATATACTAGACAAAGAGATGATTCATGTCCCAGGTTGGACAGAGCAGGATGGTACAAAATTTCATCCTTTGAATCAGAACAGCATGCAGATTAAAACTTATCAATTATTTCTGGGATTTTCCATTTAATATTTTCTGACCTTACTCATTTGTGGTAACTGAAACCACAGATACAAATAGACTCCTAAAACAAGACAAAAACTCAGCAATATTTAGATATAATATTTCTTTTTTAGCTGATCAATAGTTTGGTTTCTCCTTTGCTCCGAATAGAGCACTACTTCTGTTTTTCAAGTTTTTTGAAGTATTAATGAATATAACTCAGAAAAGTACATGATACATAAGTATAAAGATTGACTAATCGATTATTTTAGGTGGTTTGGTTTGCTTTGATTTGGTTTGTGGTGGGGGGTGATGTTTTTGTTTTGTTGTTGGTGGTGTAGTGCTGGGGATTGAATCCAGGGCCTCATGCTTGCTAGGTGAGCATTCTACCACTGAACTACATTCCCAGCCCCCAAAATTATTTTAATGTGGGCTGGGGATGTGGCTCAAGCAGTAGCGCGCTCGCCTGGCATGCGTGCGACCCGGGTTCGATCCTCAGCACCACATACCAACAAAGATGTTGTGTCCGCCGAGAACTAAAAAATAAATATTAAAAAAAAAAAATTCCCTCTCTCTCTCCTCTCTCTCTTTAAAAAAAAATTAATTTTAATGTAAACATTGTAGAAGATTTCAGACATGAAGGCACAAGGGTAAAGAAAGAAGGCAAAACAATATCTTTGCTTTTAGCATGGTAATTGCTATTTCAGTTTTTGATGATAGGTAATAAAGTTTGAGTAGTATTCAGCCTTTTTTTAACTGTTGATAGACCTTTAATTATTTAATTATTGTGGTGCTGAGATTGAATCCAGGGCCTCACACATGTGAGGCAAGTGCTCTGCCACTGAGCCACAACCCCAGCCCAGTATCAAGCCTTTAAAAAATAATAATAATAATAACAAAAACAAAAGATATTTCTGTTAACCTACTTCCAGTGATTTTTAGGTATGCAGAGTCTGCCTGAAGGGGGTCTAGTTTGGTAGTTATCAAGAGTTTACTGCCTCCATAGTTTTCTTTTTTTTTTTTTTTTTTTTTTTTTTAATATTTATTTTTTAGTTTTCGGCGGACACAACATCTTTGTTTGTATGTGGTGCTGAGGATTGAACCTGGGCCGCACGCATGCCAGGCGAGCACGCTACCCCTTGAGCCACATCCCCAGCCCCCTCCATAGTTTTCTTGACCCTGGCATTATTCTCATCCCAGCGATTCTTAACTAGGGTATGCACAATTCTGACCCTCCAAAAGAAACATTCTTATATTGAACTTAACAAATTAACCAATTAATAACTGCATCAAAGGCTAAAGAAAACCCGGTAAAAGCATCCAAGGACTCATAATTTGCACTAGGTGATCAAGCTTAATGATGGATTATTTGAAATTGGGGGGGGGGGAAACTTGCGTGATTGTTGTGTAAGATGTTTTCCTGAAAAACTTAAGCAATTTGCTAAGGAAATACTAGTACCATTTGAAAAATTATATATGACAACATGCTGTTCTTACAAATGGGACAAGTTATGCACATAATCACATTTAAAAAGTTAATAACAGGAAATAAGGAGATAATAGGTTGCTCAAATCAGCCTGGATTTTCAAGTTTTCCATGGTATTAAGACTTCACTGGGTTGAAGTTGTAGCTCAGTAGTAGAGCACTTGTTGTCTTAACATTCCTAAGGCCCTGAGTTCAGTCCCCATACTGCAGAAAAAGAAAGATCATAGGGTGGGCTATCATTTGTACCTTTTATTCAGATATGTTATATAAGGTCACTTTTCATTATAAAGTAGCCTACAGATTAGTGTCCTCCATCCCTCCCGCCCCAGTGAGAATGTATGTTTGTTTGTTGTTTTAGGGTTTTTTTGTTTTTGTTTTTGGTTCTGGTAATCAAACCCAGGGCCTCATGTATACTAGGCAAGCACTTTGCCACTGAATTACATCCGCAATGCAGAATGTTTCCCTGCTTGAAAGAAATTCGAAATATAAATGGAATTGTGCTCTTCTCATCACAAGATTAGTACCTTAAATCACACAGTAGTGCACTAAACAATTTTAATCAGTTCAAGGACTTAAAAACTCATTCCAGTTTATTTCCTTCAACCTCCTAATCTTATTCAGATGTAATTTCTGAGAGCCCTGAAACAAGTAAGCTAAAGAGAGAAATGCTTACTCATTCCAAAACCTAACTTGGTGTTAATTATAGTACAGTTTATAATGCTAACTTATTCTACCTCTGGTATTAGTGTTCAGCACCTACAAGGCATTGTTTACAAATAAATTTAACTAGAAATTTAACATTATATTACCATTTATGCTATCATCTTGTAGAGCCATTCCTAGAGCTGTACCTAGAACCCAAACTTCAGTGCTCCTTTATATCTCCTGGATCCATTTCCCAAACCAGCATCTAGAATTCTAAAGATAATTAGTGCTGATGTGGAACATACAGAATAAATAAAGTATAAAAGATCCAAAATGCAACTAAGCAATCAGATTTTAAAGTAGAACATATTCAGCTTCCTGAGTAACCTGAATCAAGGCTATGGTAAAATTAGTCTTCCCATGGTATTGTATCTCCAAGATTGATAAATATCAGTGTCCAAACACCCTTACAATAAGAAATCTAGACATATAATGTTAATAACCTCTCCCCTCAAAAAGTGAATCCAGCAACTTCAAGGACCTTAGTAATTAAACATTTTTCATACTCTAGAAAATATCCATTAGCTGGCAGAACTCAGCAAAATTAAAGCCATAAATGTTGGTTCAGGGGCTTTGTCCAAATTTGATCAGCCACACTCATCTTAACTTAAAGCAGAATTGGGATCTAGTTTTTGGAGATAGACCTTTTAGAATCAGTTATAATTAGATACAACTTGGGCTGGGGATGTGGCTCAAGCCGTAGCGCGCTCGCCTGGCATGCGTGCGATATCTGGGTTCGATCCTCAGCACCACATACCAACAAAGATGTTGTGTCCGCCGAGAACTAAAAAATAAATATTAAAAATTCTCTCTCTCTCTTTAAAAAAATAAATAAATAGATAGATACAACTACTGGTGAATCAGATGAAGATTCTTTATCAGCACATAAGGGGAAAAAAAGGACCTGGGAGTATAACTTAATGGTGGAGCACTTGCCTAGTATATTGAAGGCTCTTGTTCACTGGGGAAAGGGCAGGGCAGTTTTCTAAGGGAAGAAAAGGTAGATGGTTGAAGACTGTAGAAGCCAAGAAAGAAAAAGGAGATGTGATCTTCATATTTCTGGGTGATAATTAAGTTGCACTGGGGAGGACAAACATTGTTGGTATTATTAAGCATATATAAAGAATTACATACAACTCTAGTCAAATTTAAGTCTTGATTATGTTTCTACAACTGGTAGTCATCTACCCCTTCCCAAACATATACTCCCTTAGAACAACTATCAGTGGGGTTTTTGGCATTGAGTAGATACTCATTTTATTCAAATAAATATTTGCAGTGAATGACCATCATATAACCATAACTAGAAAGAAATTATAAATAAGCAGATAAAAGTAATTTTAATATGAATATTCTAATTTTATTTATTTTAATAATTTGTCTCTCAGCTAAAAAGTTGCCAAAGAATGAACCACAGAATCCAGGAGCAAATTCTACTAGAGGAAGAGGAGTAGACCTTACTGAACCTACACAACCAACCAGGAGTCAATGTTGTAGTAACTAAACCTCCAGTTTGAACTAGCTGGAATATTCTGCTTCCTAAATGTTAACAGCGGGATTGGAGCATTTAACCGGCCCAGTATGACTTCCAAAAAGAAGAGACTTACGATAGAGTCGAGTTTCTAATACAGAATTATTTTATGTGTTTTGAACTTAATTTTTAATAACATGCATGTATCCCTCTAACTAATGTTACAGCAATAGAAAGGGAAGATGGGAACTATGTGTATTCTTGTTTCATTGGAAGGTTACGAGGGAATCATTTGTCATCATTAGAGATAAAGATAAATGACTGGATCCACAGCTAACCATCCAGTTTCTCCAAACTGGAGCAGTAGTCATCTATGGAAAAGATTTAGAAATTATTAATTTGGACTTTTGAAAAACATTTTTAGGATTCTCCAGATGTTTATGCTTAGCCGCAGTATTCAGGCAAATGATAATTTCTTTTATCTAAAGTGTACATTCCACATTTTAATAATAAATTAACCATAAGAATACCGTCCCACATCTCCAGGAAGAAAAAGGAAATTAGTGGCATCAAAATTATAGCCAGTCCCATTATTTTTTTAAATGGGGTAAAAAAGCAAATGTAGCCCCATCTTGTTTTAAGAGTATAAAAACAGATGAATGCAATTTAATAAATAGTGTTCTCTTCATGTGAGCTCTTCAACAAAAATGAAACAAACCAGGTGTCTGTGATTTATATTTAATCACTGCTGGCCATTATATAGGTCTTGTTTGGGGATAGGGAAGGGGCTTTTGTTCCCTTTGAACATAAATATAGTCAGTGCACTAACAATTATGTACATTCAAACTTGATTACTTTAAATTTGATTTCCATCTGTACTGTAAATAGGGTACTGCATTGTCTCCATATGTTTATTATTTTTCTGTAATATTTAAGAATTGCTTAAAGTATACAAAATGTACAGTTACTAAAACTGCTAATTATTTCTTCCTCCTTTGAAAGGAAGGGGCTTCAGTTGTTCCTCATAACTAGAACCATAATAAACAATGTACCTGTAATTTGTAACATAAATATTGCATTGTTAGTAACAATCTTGCAGCCTTGTTTTTGAAAGTCCATTTTATTTTGATCAGTTCAGTATATTGCACTAATTATTTTAGGTCTTTTCATTATATGAAATCTACCATGTGTCAGAGATGATTTAATCTATTTAAGTGTTGAACTGCTAGCAGAACTTGTACATTTTACAGTAATTCAGAATTAGTAAGGAAAACAGTTCACCAGTGTTTAGTTTTATATTGAGGTGCTCAGGTTGGAATAAAGTGGTATAAAAAGCAAGTACTGGTTTTTCTCTTTTTTGGCATAAAATGGTGAACATATGTAAATTATATTATGTAACCTAAAATCTACTTTTATATTTACTACTTTCTTAAAATTATTTACATGGTATTGATGTATCATCCTAACGTCTGCTTCATAAACGAATTGCTTTGTGGCATTATATTTTGGTTCTCTGGATAATTAGAACTTTATATTTTATGGCAGCAAGTGATATTCACTTCCACTGAGAAATATTACCATAACTGTAATGTTGTCTCTGGATCCAGCCTCTAAAGCAGCATTTACAAGTTTATGGCTAATATACTCAGCTGCACCTTCATAGAAATTTTTAGTGCCTAATTTTTTTATACTTGTTTGCTCATCATCTGCACTTTCAATTTCATTCTCATGACTAGTTGTTGGTGAAGATAATTCTTCATTTTTCGGGTCATCAAAACTATAGTCAGACGAGTTTTTTGAATTTGTGGTTGACACATATTCTTCAGATTCAGATTCACACTGAAACAATATGTGGATATCACTTTCGAATTCATTATTACTTTTGTCACTGTTTGGAAGAAGCGGAGGCCCTGTAGATGGTAGAGCTTCTAACTGTGTGATTGAGGTGTATGTTTCTTTATACATATGAAACATTGTTATTACCATTGCAGTGACTTCCTTTTTATCCAAAACTTCCCAGAGTCCATTAGTAGCTAAGATAAGGAATTGACATAAGTCATCCATAGGAATAGAAATAGTTTGAGGTGCTGGGATAATGGATTTTTTCAGTTTGAGATTTCCATGAAATCCAAGTCCTCTTGTGGTTTTTATTTGCCCTTCTAGGAGCCCATACGGTTCGTTTGAACTGATTACTGCTCCAGTCTGAAGTACTCTTCTTCTTTCTTTGATGTTTCGAGTAGTATGTTCTTTGGTTAGGCAAAAACTTTTCCCATTTCTGCATAAGACTGCTTGTACATTACCTAAAAGATAATTTAAAAATACAAAAAATTTTGTCCTACAGATTTAATAACCAGTTGTGTCAAAGTATACTGATAGCTTTACTAATTCTGTGATTTCGATGCTAAACAGAAAGAAGGCCATGTAAAAATATTTTTTTAAACATGTATACTGAATGATTTATGATAAGTTAGGTTTCAAACTGAGAAACAAGTTTTACTTTTTAAAATTCTGGGTTTGGTATTAAAATAACTAAAACCACCAATAATTAAAAATAATTCCTAAATCAAAGTTTTTTTTTATGAAACAGCTTCCAAATATTATTTATTTTAGAGTCGAGTTGAACTTTTTAATAATCAACATATATTTCATACAACCGGGTTTTATTTTTAAAATGTTTAAATAAATGCTTCTTTAATTAAAAACACCTTTGATTTTTTTTTTTAAGAATAGAGTCTGACAGTTGTGTAACTGATTGAAGTTAAAATCTGAATGTACAGTGGCATTCTAACTTTTTCATACCACTATTAATTTCAGTCTTACTAAGTTCCTTCAATGTGTGCAAAAAATATGTATCATTAATGTATTAAATGGATAACAGGCACCCACAACATTGAAATTAAACCCTTCATTTGAAAACTGAAATGTTAAAAAGTTTGATGGTAGTTTGTTCATACTTCAAATGAATTCATGTGTGTGCTTCATTGCAATCTTAAAGTCTAAACATGCTCTAAACAGATTAAAGGATGATAATATTACTAAAACTGTAGTTTCTTTAAAAGTCAGTTTTGTTTCTTAGAAAAAAGTATTGAGTTCTTAGGGATGTAATTGTTTTTGGTACAGAGTCATGATTTATAAAAAATTGTTCTGAGATGGGGTTAGTCATATTTGAATATTATATCCTTAGAATTCAAATTTCCTAGATTAGGATGCCAAATTTACTTTAGATAGAATATTCTGATTTTTAAATACAATGCTACACCTAGGATCAGAATTTTGTCTCTTACAGAGGTTCATTTCTAAACACTCTTTTCTGTGGTGCTTGATTAAACCCAGGGTCTCAACTCATGCTAGGCAAGTTTTCTAGCACTGAGTAACATATTCAGCCCTCTTAAATTTTATTTTGAGGCTGGGACTCAGTAAGTTGCCCAGGTTGACCTTGGATTTTCAATCCTCCTGCATCAGCCTCCTATATAGCTGGGATAAAAGTAGTGCACCATGAGCTTGACTTAAGTCATCCATTTTATTTAGGTAAAAGAATTTAGGCTTAGAAGATCTGGAAATGCAGTTAGAGTGCTTTGCCTAGCATGTGTGAGGCCATGGATACTAAAGGAAAAAAAAAAAAAAGGAAAAAAACTGGTTCATGCAAGTGATGGGACAGAAAGCGTAACTTGATGGAGTATTAGTGTAGGGTATACATTAATAACATTGGCCCATTTACATAATGTGAAATGTTGATATCTGTGTGTGTGGATTGGGACCAAAAGGTGATATAGCTGTGCATGTACACCTGTAATCCCAGAGCTTGCTTGGGAGGCTGAGGCAGGAAGATTGTGTTTCAAACCAGACTCAGCAATTTAGCACTAGGCCATAAGCAACACTGTGAGACTCTCTAAATAAAACAACAAAGGGCTGGGGATGTGGCTCAGTGGTTAAGCACCCCTGGTTTCAATCCCTGATACCAAAAAAATGAGAATTTTTTTTTTTAAAGAGAATTTTTTAATATTTATTTTTTAGTTTTCAGCGGACACAACATCTTTCTTTGTATGTGGTACTGAGGATCGAACCCGGGCCGAACGCATGCCAGGCGAGCACGCTACCACTTGAGCCATATCCCCAGCCTGAGAATTTTTTAAAAAGATGATATATATATATATATATATTGGAAAGATGAGAGGTATGTAAATGATAGTTCTAAAAATAGGCTTCTCATTTCTGTATAGTTTGGTTATTAAAGTTTTGTATTTGTCTTTAATGCTGATCATTCTAGTTATGTTTTGCACAAGGTAAATTGGTAAAATAATTCTTGACTTTTGGTAAGTTGTAAATTATTAGTGTTAATCAGCAAAGCATCGTGGAAATGGTACTCAACATACTGGTTGATTAAATAGAACATTAGGATGTATGATTCAGTACCTCTTTGACGTTAGAAAAAAAAATATGTGTTTAATGTGAATAGTGCTATGAAAATGGGACAGAATCTGGTTCAAAATAGTCAAGACCATTCACTTCCTAAATGTTCACTTGCATGTGGCAAGCCAAAGTTCACTCAGTAAAAAGAAAAAACACATTTCCCTGCCACTTGACTTGACTTGAAAAGAATTCAGTACAGCCGCGTGCAGTGGCAGATGCCTATAAATAATCCCAGCTCCTAGGAGGCTGAGACAGGAGGATTGCAAGCTTTTTTGTTGTTTTTAGTACCAGGGATTGAACTCAGGGGCATTGAGCCACATCCCCAGCCCTATTTTTTTTTTTTTAATAATTTATTTAGAGACAGGGTCTCACTGAGTTGCCTAGCTCCTCGCTTTTGCTGGGGCTGACTTTGAACTCACAATCCTCCTACCTCAGCCTTCCCAGCCTGCTGGGATTACAGGCGTGTGCAATCTTGCTAGTCTAGGCGATTTAGCAAGACCCTGTCTTGAAACAAAAAGGATTGGGGATGTAGCTCAGAGGTAGAGCACCCCTGGGTTCAGTCCCCAGCATCATGAAAACAACACAATTTTAGTATGAATATGAACTTAAAATGGTAATATGGTCAATAACTTTTGATTGAACCCAGGGACACTTAAATAAGCCACATCCTCAGCCCTTTTATTTTTTGAGACAGGGTCTTACTAAATTGTCAATGCTGGTCTCATGTTTGGCGAACCTTCTGCCACTACCCCCAACTGATAAACAGCTAATTTGGTTTTGGTTTTGTCTCTGAGAGTTTGATAAATTTTAGCCTTATGCACTGTCTGCTCTCTCAGTGATTCATGCCTGTAATCCCAGTGACTTTGAGAAGCTGAGGCAGAAGGAGTTTGAGGCTTGCCTGCCTCAGCAATTTAGCAAAACCCTAAGCAATTTAGTGAGACCCTGTCTCAAAAAAAAAAAAAAAGTGAAGGTGCAGCTTATTGGTAAAGCACCTGTGGGTTCAATCCCTACTACAAAAAAATAAAATAAATAAAGGAAGAAATGTTCCTGTACCATCTGTTTAGGGAAAATATGAATGCCTAACCAAGTGGTGAACTGTGTGATTAAAAACTATTACACAAGTTCTATTTTTTTTGTGGAGAAGGAAACAGGGTTGAACCCAGGACCTCACACGTAATAGGCAAGCACTCTACTGTTATATCCCCAACCTGTTTTACTTTAAGATAAGGTCAGAGTGGCCTTGAACTCCTACCACATTCTCCCAAGTAGTTTAGGAGTACAGGCTTGTGCCACCTCACTCAGCCATTGCACAAAAAATTTTAATCTGAGCTTAAAGAGTTCAAATTCCTAATGTAAAGTTTCTAGCTTTTGAGAATTGGAGATACTGTGCTTTTCAGAATATGTTGCCAGAACAAAAATATAACCGTCACTGGAAAAACAACAACATATTTGGGGACAATAATTTGGGGTTAAAAAGAGCTGCTTTATGAGGCTGGGGATATAGCTCAGTTGGTAGGGTGCTTTCCTTGTATGTGCAAGGTCCTGGGTTCAATCCTCAGCACCAAAAAAAAAAAAAAAAAAGTTAAAAGAACTGCTTTGTGGGCTGGGGTTGTGGCTGGGTGGTGGAGCACTTGCCTTTGATCCTCAGCACCACATAAAAATAAATAAAATCAAGATATTGTGTCCATCTACAACTAAAAAAAAATTGAAAAGAACTGCTTTGTGATGATGGCTTTTTAAGGTAAAATGTATAGTCAAATGTTTTTTTGTTTTTGTAGTGGTGATGGCAGTACTGGGAATTGAACCCAGGGGCACTCTTCCACTAAACTACATCCTCAGCCCTTTTTATTTCTTTATTTTAAAACAGTCTTACTAATTTGCCCATATTTGTTCCAGGCTTAATCTTGCTACCTCTGCCTCAATTGGATAACAAGCATATGCCACAATGGGGGGCTTCAGAGTGTTTCTTATGCAGAAGGCAATAATGTAACTGCTTTCTAAAATCACTGGGTTATCTCCAACTTTTGTAAGGAAAAAAGGAGTCTAGTATATTACAGGGTGAGCTCTGGAGATGAAAACAACAATGTCTAAAATAAAAAACACTACAAGATGTGATTAATGGCAGATTAGATTAGATATTACTGAAGAAAAATTTAGTGAAATTGAAAATATAGCAATAGAAACTACAAAACAAAGCATAGAGAGAAAAAAGTTTCAAAATCAAAGAGCATTAATGATCCAGGGACAATTTCAAGTAGCCTCAAGTACAAAATTTGTGTGCTTTAGGGAGAGAAATGAGGAGAAAATAATTGGCATACATCATAAATTGCTTAAAATCAAAGAAAATCTAAACCAGCCACAAGGGGGAAACCATATTATGTACAGAGGAACACAGAAAGTGGTGACAGCAATGCAAGCAAGAAGACAGTGAAGTAATATTTTTAACATACTGAAAGGAAAAATCTGTCAACCTGAAGTTATGTCCATGTACAACTTTTAAAAAGTTAAAAACAATAGACCAAATGAATATTTCTTTTAAAAGCAGAGGTACAAATAAAGTCTCATCATCCCAAAACCCATATTACTCGTATACATATCATTTTAATTGAAAAATATGTAAAAGATAATTGAATGTTTAACAGGAAAAGTGATAGAGAATATGT